TAAGTTGGGATTGGCCCCCAGGGCCGCCCGCTGCTGCTGAAACTGACCAGCGGCTGACTACAGGAAGCCTGAGGCAGAGTTGCTCTGCCCCTGGCTTCCTGGAATCAGCCGCTGATCAGTTTCAGCAGCAGCTGACTTGGGGACGCCTGGGTTTCTTAAGTTGAATCCGTATGTAAGTCAGAACTGGCGTCCAGATTCAGCCGCTGTTAAAACTGATCAATTTCAGTAGCGGCTGACGCCAGTTCCGACTTACATACAGATTCAACTTAAGAACCAGAGTTGCTCTGCCCCTGGCTTCCTGGAATCAGCCGCTGATCAGTTTCAGCAGCAGCTGACTTGGGGACGCCTGGGTTTCTTAAGTTGAATCCGTATGTAAGTCAGAACTGGCGTCCAGATTCAGCCGCTGTTAAAACTGATCAATTTCAGTAGCGGCTGACGCCAGTTCCGACTTACATACAGATTCAACTTAAGAACAAACCTACCGTCCCTATCTTGTACGTAACCCGAGGACTGCCTGTAGTTCAACATTTGAGAATGGAACATCATCCTCAGAGTTGGGCTTCAGTCTGTGTTTTCGTGAACCTCAAAGACTTCTGCGCTGACTTGGCTTATTTTGTGGTTTAATTAATCTGTAGTTATAGGAACTGCGTCAAGGAATAGGAAGGGAAAAGAGATGCATAGACATAAAAATGGAAAAACATACAGAAGATAAATAGGTAAAATACAAAATCAGAATAATACAAACCATCACAACACTGGAGACTGATAGCTGTCCCAATGAATTAGAACAGTCTTTTGAAATATCTTTGAATTGAAAATGGTTTCGGAATAAATATTAATGTGAATAATCTTTGTGATTATTGTTTTTGCAATAGACAATTTCCTTTATAATTATTCTGAATAGTCTCCACTTAATAATGAGTATTTGCCCACAGATACCACACTTTACCACAGTTATTTCTTATTCTAAGGTTGCCGTTTTAGAACAACCAAGCTCGAATTAAGTTTTTGGTCCTTTGTGTTTTAAAAATAAAAAAAATGACTTTTGGAGTGAATGTATTTCCAATGAGCTCTCACTCTCCCCCAACTATGTATTTATATGTATAAACATTTTTCATTACTATTTCCTTATTGCCACAGGAATTATTATACCACACAAAAACCCTGATTCTTTATTGAAAATCAACCCAAGTCACTTTGGATTTTATCGTGTAAATTATGAAACACAAAATTGGGACTACATAGCCAATAATCTGCTAAAAAACTATTCGGTGAGTCAGATTGAATTAACCAGTTTGTTATAAGATGGTTGGTTTCTGGGATCTATTGAAAATTACTTTTTTCTACAAATACAAACATATTTTTCTCCCTCCCCTCGTGCAGTCTTTCTCTTCTGCTGATCGTGCTGGGCTTTTGGATGATGCCTTTTCTTTGGCAAGGTAAGTCTCAATAACGAAACTATAGCATTATAGACGTTTCAAAATAGGTTTCATGTCTTCCCATTGGTTTTTATATTGGCATTACATCGATTTGTATGATAAGAATGAGCATTTTAAAACTATTGTTTTATTATAAATACAGGTTGAACCTCTCTAGTTGGGCACCCTTAGGACCTGACCAGTGCCAAACCAGAGAATTTGCAGAACCATGGGAGGTTAGTAATGTCTAGCAGCATTACCAACACTTCCCTTGCTTACTGGGCCCATAGAAGACATTTTGGGGTAAATTAGAGCTAAAAGTAGCACAGCATACTGACAGCCAGGACTGGTGACTGTAAACAAACTTAATGGGTCCATAGGAAACTTGTCCACACTTATCATAAGTTGACATCTAACTAAAATCATGCTGGACTACCAGGTCACTTTGGATTTTATCGTGTAAATTATGAAACACAAGACTAGAGAGTGATGGCGTAGAGAAGTTCAACCTGTATAGAAAGAATTAGGTCTTGGTTTGTCTTCAGGAGCCATTTCTTTTCTTCTGTTTTCCTCTATGAGGAGAAAATTTAAACATGTGCACAGCTCTTAATGAAGTCAGTTAGAGATGGCCTTACCCATTCAGTATTAGGAATCACTGAAGTTAATGGGAGTTTTGCCATTCAGGATTTATTTCCTTTCTTTGCCTGTAGAACTCTTGTGTTGTTGAGCGTGGTGTAGATGCCAAAACAATGACAAAAATGTTTCAGATGAAGCCATGGTCCCAGAGGAAACCTGGTGTCTAAGGAGAGTCACAGAGTGTCTATCCCTCTGTGTGTATATTTCCATAGATATACCAAAATCCACCAGATTTCTTTCTGAATCTTGGGACCTTAGGACAGATAATGAGATATAACATCTTTGCTGGTAACACAACTGTGTGTACCTTTTCAAGGTTTATTTGGTGAACAAAAGCAGGTAACTACACAATGTTGATTGCTCTAGAATGGTAATGAGAGCTCCTTCAGAGCTATTCTGCTCTTGTACATGACATCTAATCATAATAATCCTTCAGAATGTTCTTTGGAAAGGGCCTCCTGAGTATGTTCCATAACTTTTCCCCAAGTTTATTATCTTAACTCTTTTACAGAGCATGGTGCTATAGTAATCTCTTTAGCATTTTAATTGCTGTTATCACACAATACAGGCAATTCCTTTTGCCTTGGGATAAAGTGAAGGGCTCTTGTGGGAGTGCAATTGAGTAGTTGTGTATAAAAGAGATAAATATTGTGAGAACTAGAAGGACAGTTGATAACAGAGTTCCATAAAAACTCAGGAAAATATAGCATGGCCCTGGTTACTAGACCCATTAAGAAAGCAATTTCATACACAAAATATATCCACAATTTTGCTTCCAATTTACTTGTTATTGTAGGTGTGCATGTAAAGGAATAATTATAATCACTTGCTCTTAAGTGTCTGAATTGTACATGCAGTCACCACAAGTGTGTGCATGAATTGTATACCTGATGTACCTAAAATCAAACCCTTCCGGTTCAATGCTATGCATAATATAAAAAAACAAAATCAATAAAATAGAAGATTTAAGATTATTCAACAAACTGGTTAGGTATTTAGAGCTTGTTTGTCCCCCCTTAGGGATTCACATTATAGAAAACTTGCTATGTCATTTATATGCTGCATTACAAATACTAGTTAATTTTCACAACATTACTATAAAGTGGATAAGGATTAACACCCCCATTTTGCAGATAAGGAAATTGAGATACACAGATGTTAATGGTATTAGAATTTGTGTCTTTCTGACTTTCAGTTGTATGATCAGCCCACTAGATACTGATTGCTTCATGCAAATACAAACTCACAGCCAGAGTAGGAATACTTCACTCGCACCAGTAGGCAGTTACAAAAGCAGTCCCACTGAATTCATTAGATTTTCCTACATCATTAAAAATGTTTCCCCATGTTTAGAGCTTTAGTGTTTATTTCCATGTCATTAAAAGATTTGCAAGCAGTTTTTTATTCTTGCCTCTGCCAATGGTCTTCTGATTGATCTCAGGCAATTCACGTCAACAACTCTATGACTCAGTTTCTCCAGCTGCAATATGGAGATGATACTGACCCCTTTTTAAAATGCTTTGAGATTTACTAGGTATTATAATTATTTACCTAGAGTTACACTTGGTATTATAAGGATTTACTGATTTGAAATAACCTTGTCTATTAACCCATATTCAATAATATTAGTAGATTTCCTGCATTTTACTATGAATGGATAAATGAAATCTTAGCCAAATTTTTTTGGGCACTGATGTAATTATGCATGTTTCAAAACTAGCAGAGAAGACTAATCCCTAGATGAGCCATGTATCCATTAATTCCACTAGGATATATTCATTACAGTACCGTGGAGTAATTTTTTTATACTTCCACAATTGCAACACAATTAAAAGTGTGCTATTTTCAGTTGTCCCATCATAGCACAAAATCTCTGATACACACAAATTGAGGGGTCCAGATTCTATTAAAAGTGGGTGTGTAGAAGCTGAGTTTTGTAAAGCTTGGACATTTCACCAGGTAATAGGGTTCAGGTTTTCACTGAAACTGGGTGAATATTTTCCACCAGTGAGGAAAAAAAAAAGATTCAGGTAACTGAAGCATAATGTGAATTCAGGTTGGATTTGCCCAATTGTTTTGGTTAAAAAAAATCTGAGCCATCAAAATACTTAATTCCAACATTTTCTAAATGGAATGTGTCGATTTCTCAATTAAAAATGTTTAAAAAATAAAAACAATGGGAAATTTTAAAATGTAAAAGCCTTTAAAAAAGCTCAAACTAAACTAAACATTTTGTTTGGGTCAAACCGAGCATTTCATTTGGATTGGAAGTGATTTTTTTCTTTTCTTTTTCATTTTGCTGAAAAATAGCCATTTCTGGTCAAGATGAAATTAATTTTATCTCATTTCCTGCTCCCTCCAATGAACTAAAAAAATCAATTATTTTTATATTCTTAGTTATCATGTTCTCCAAGGGCACTGGCACTGAATGGTGGTAACTTGCTCTACCTAATCTATTTTTAGAGCAGGCAGTGTGTTGATTCCTTAGTGCCTCTTCCATAATTTAGCACATTCTTATGGGGGGAAGGAATAAGTTAGCCATATTGTCTGGGGAGAGGAGAGAAAGATATTGCCCCTATTCCTCTCCAAAGGAGACAGTTTGTTGGCTCTAGTCTTCAGAGCTCCTGGATCAGCCCTAGCACCTATAAGTGTGATTCTAGGGAATGGTGGAGATGGGAAACAAGAAAGCTTCTTCCGTCCACCATGTTAACAAGGATTGGAAAAAAAGGACACTGCTTACATGTGACCTACTCTGTCCTTCTCTCTTCCTATCTGAGAGAAGGTAGACTGGGTGTTATTTACACTCAAAGAATAATAGAGAAGTGATTTGTACACAATTGAAGAAGAATAGAGAAGTGACTGAGGCTACATCTACACTACGAGTTTTGCCGGAAGAGGCAATGCAAATAAAGCAAGGATTAGCATTTTCTTGCACTTCATTTGCATAATCTCTTCCAATCCATTTTTGCGCTAGGGGTTTTTGTGCAAAAACAAGCAGCTAAACCTCTTCCAAAGTAGGCAAGCAAGCTTTGCAATTGTATACAATGAATTCTTTATGAAAAGAGCTTCCCACAAGAATGATGCAAACTTGGAATATGATTATAATTAACACACATATAATTAACCCACAATACATTCTCTGTGTTCCAGTTACAAACAAAGCAAGATTTCTAAACATGTGTCAATTATCTCTCTCCATTCCTCAGAGCTGAACTTCTGAATTATTCTGTTCCATTGAATCTAACAAGATATCTAGAAAATGAAGAGGACTATTTACCTTGGCAAAGAGTTATATCAGCTGTATCTTACCTCAGAGACATGTTTAAAGATGATACAGAGCTCTACCCCAAGTTTAAGGTGATGCAGCTATGAAAGTCTTGCTTACATTCCATGTATTTTACAAATCAGGGGTATAAAAATCATAGCATTGACAACAGAGTAATTTTCAAAATTGCTGAAGTTGTTTTATGTATAATTTCAACATTAAAAATGTATATTATATATTATATTCTTAACACATTTTCTGAGATAATTTACATAAGCACCGGAATTATATCGATCAACAGTCTAGGACTGTATACTGGAAATAAAATCAGAGTGTTCACAGTTAACATTTGCCATCTATTTTCATTGTTCACAGTAAAGTTG